TCAATAAAGAAAAAAAAATAAACAAAAAAAGGAATAAAGAATAAAACAAAACAACAGCCCTAACCAGTTTGGCTCAGTGGACAGAGCGTCGGCTGGGGACTCAAGAACCCCAGGTTCGATTCCGGTCAAGGGCATATGCCTGGGTTGCGGGCTCAGTCCAAAGTGCAGGAGGCGGCCAATCCATGATTTCCTCTCATCATTGTTTCTATCTCTTCCTCGCCTTTCCTCTCTGAAATCAATAAAAAATATATTTTTTAAAAAAGAACAAAACTAGACGCTCACTTAAAAAAATATTTTAAACACACACACACACACACACACACACACACTAAAATCAACACAGGCACATGTCCTTTACATCAGCAGTTCCACCTCAGGGGAACGAGCCCACCAACCTACACCGCAGTGGGATGGCTGACGATCCAGTGTGTGCGTGTGCAATTAAAACATTCTAAATACGCAACAGCCGAAAGGAATTGGGTGGCATAAAAATCTGGTGGGTGGCACACCACACACACACACACACACACACACAGACACACAGACACACAGACACACACACACACACAGACACACACACACACACACACACAGACACACAGACACACAGACACACAGACACACACACACAGACACACACACACACACACACAGACACACACACACACAGACACACAGACACACACACAGACACACACACAGACACAGACACACACACAGACACACAGACACACACACACAGACACACAGACACACACAGACACACACACACACACACACACACACACAGACACACACAGACACACACACACAGACACACACACACACAGACACACAGACACACACACACACACACACACACACACACACACACTGAGAGGAAGCCTGCTCACTGAATATTGTCTATTTCCCTCGCCATTTATAGGCAGGCCCGTGGGGAGCGGGTTTTGTACGCTGTACAAATAAGGTGCATAAATGCCTCGTCACTATGGTGTATGCCTGGACGTAATATGCTAGTGCATGCCAACTTATTTAATTGAAAAATAAGTTAAAACCATTGTATTCACCATCCACAACCTGAAGCCTTGTCAGGAGACAAGCCCCGGGCGCCTCCCGGCTCCCCTCTCCCCTCCCCCTCAGGCCCTCACCTCGGTCCGCTCCCCACCCGCCCTCGCGCGCCCCCTAGGGGACCCCGCCAGCAGCGCGCCCCTCGCAGGGCGCACGCGCAGCCCCGGGCAGGGCAGGCCCGGGCACGGCGGCGCGCACGGCGCATGCGCCGCGGGTCTGAGCGCGAAGTCTAAAAGCCGGCGGCTCAGTCCCGCCCGGGCGTGCGGCGGCGGCGGACGAGGTGAGCGCGCGCGGCGGCCGCTCCGGGCCGCGAGGAGCCGCGGGGACGGCGCGGAGGGCCGAGCTCCGGGCCCGCGGAGGCGCCCTCAGGGCGCACGGTCCTCCGGGGGGACGCAGGGGGGACAGGGAGGGGGGCACCCCGGGGGCGCATGGGGGACAGGGGAGGGGGCCACCCTCAGGGGCGGGGGACACCCCGGGGGGGCGCATCGGGGGCAGGACGAGGCGGGCCCCTCTGAGGGGGCACATGGGGGACGGGGTGAGGCGGGCCCCTCTGAGGGGGCGCATGGGGACGGGGGGACCGGGTCCCTGAGGGGGCGCATGGGGACGGGGAGACCGGTCCCCCTGAGGCGGCGCATGGGGACGGGGGGACCGGGTCCCTGAGGGGGCGCATGAGGACGGGGGGACCGGATTCCCCTGAGGGGGGCGCATGGGGATGGGGGGGGGGACCGGGTCTCTGAGGGGGCGCATGGGGACGGGGGGACCGGTCCCCCTGAGGGGGCGCGTGGGGACGGGGGGGGGACCGGGTCCTCTGAGGGGGCGCATGGGGACGGGGGACCGGGTCCTCTGAGGGGGCGCATGGGGACGGGGGGGACCGGGTCCCTGAGGGGGCGCATGGGGACGGGGGGACCGGGTCCCTGAGGGGGCGCATGGGGACGGGGGGACCGGGTCCCTGAGGGGGCGCATGGGGACGGGGGGACCGGGTTCCCCTGAGGGGGCGCATGGGGACGGGGGGACCGGGTCCCTGAGGGGGCGCATGGGGACGGGGGACCGGGTCTCTGAGGGGCGCATGGGGCCGGGGGGACCGGGTCCCTGAGGGGGCGCATGGGGACGGGGGGACCGGGTCCCTGAGGGGGCGCATGGGGGAGGGGGGACCGGGTCCCTGAGGGGGCGCATGGGGACGGGGGGGGGACCGGGTCCCTGAGGGGGCGCATGGGGACGGGGGGACGGGTCCCTGAGGGGGCGCATGGGGACAGGGGGACCGGGTCCTGAGGGGGGCGCATGGGGCCGGGGGGACCGGGTCCCTGAGGGGGCGCATGGGGACAGGGGGACCGGGTCCCTGAGGGGGCGCATGGGCCGGGGGGACCGGATCCTGAGGGGGCGCATGGGGCCGGGGGGACCGGGTCTCTGAGGGGGCGCATGGGGACGGGGGGACCGGGTCTCTGAGGGGGCGCATGGGGCCGGGGGGACCGGGTCCCTGAGGGGGCGCATGGGGCCGGGGGGACCGGGTCCCTGAGGGGGCGCATGGGGACGGGGGGACCGGGTCCCTGAGGGGGCGCATGGGGACAGGGGGGACCGGGTCCCTCTGAGGGGGCGCATGGGGACAGGGGGGACCGGGTCCCTCTGAGGGGGCGCATGGGGGATGGGACGGGGTGAGGCGGGCCCCTCTGAGGGGGCGCATGGGGACAGGGGGACCGGGTCTCTGAGGGGTCACATGGGGGACGGGGTGAGGCGGGCCCCTCTGAGGGGGCGCATGGGGACAGGGACATGCGGATGATGAGGGGGAGGGCGGGTGTGGCGGGGGCAGGGCTTGCCCAGGTCCCTGTGGGGCTGAGGAGGCCGGAGCCCTGGGCACAAATGCGCAGGACCACCTCTCCTCCCCACAGGCCACTTCCCCGAGGGTTCACCTGCTCCGCCCGAACCCGTGACCCAACGTCTTCATCCCTGACCCGAACCCCGAACCCTTACCCGACCCCTTCATCTCCTGACCTGAAGCCCTCATCCCCTGACCACACGCGCACTCTCTGGCTCCAGCCAGGACATGTCTTTGCCCGTCCCCGTCCCCTCCTTGCTCCTGGACACCACCTCGTCCTCCACCCCGGCCCCTCCACCTCAGACCCCACCTCCCCTTTACCTCAGCCTCCTGTCCCCTCCACCTCAGCTGCCCCCCCTCCACCTCAGCCCCTTGTTCCCCTCCCTGCCCCACTCATCCTCTCTCTATCCTTCCCTGACCCCTTCTCCTTCCCTTTCTCTTTCCCCTTCCCCTTCCCCTTCCCCTTCCCCCCATAATGAGAGAGAATCATGGATCAGCTGCCTCCTGCACGCCCCCTGCTGGGGATCAAGCCCACAACCCAGACATGTGCTCTTGACTGGAATCGAACCTTTACCTCCTGGTTCCTAGGTTCATGCCCAACCACTGAGCCACACCCACCAGGCCACTATTTTGACTTTTAACACCTTAGACCCATTTTGCCTGATTTTGACCATTATAAAAACAGAATCATTGAATGTGGGCTTTTTAATTTTTTTTTTTAAAGTTTGCATTTTAAAAATATGCACTCTTCTCACAGCCTACCACGGACTAGTTTCCAGCTAACAAATTCAAATGAAATGTTCGCATAAAGCAATAAAATATAATTGAATATTCAATGGGTCTCTGAATGGATGGTAATCAATTGTACTTTAAAATATTAAAATTCTACAAAGATGAAAGGTGTTGCATGGCTGAAAAAAATTTAAAGCAGATAGGACAAGGAATACCATGTTTCCTTTGCTCAGTAGCAGGGTACACCCATGTTCTCAATTGTTTCTAGTCCCAGTGCCATTCTATTGTGCCATTCTATTGTGGCTTTGTCTCCTCTTGAACACTTACTATTGTCTGATTGTTTTTTTCATTTTGAGCATTCTGAAAGATGTACAGTGATATCTCATTGGCTTTTAATTCCTATTTCTCTGCTAACCAATGAAGTTGAGCCCTGTTTCATATGATATTTTGGCCATTTTTTTCTCAAATCTCTTAACCTTTTGCCCTTATTTTGTCTGCTCTTTTCTTACTAATTTGTACGGGTGCTTTGTATATTTTGCATATGAATTCAGGGTGCATGTATAACAAACTTCTTTCTTCATCCTGTATAATGTATAGTTGTCTAACATCACTGATATATATATATATATCAATATATTTTATTAATTTTTTTACAGAGAGGAAGAGAGAATGATAGAGAGTTAGAAACATCGATGAGAGAGAAACATCGACCAGCTGCCTCCTGCACACCCCCTACTGGGGATGTGCCCACAACCAGGGTACATGCCCTTGACCGGAATGGAACCTGAGACCTTTCAGTCCTTAGGCCGATGCTGAGCCAAACCGGTTTGGGCCATCACTTATATTTCGAAATGAAATTCTTCCCCGGCTCATCAGATTTGTCCCGCTCGTTCTGGTTTCGGAATCCAAGTCATTTTTCCGTTCAGTGCCCTTTCTGAAATATTTCTAGCCTGCGCCTGTGGCTTTCCTGGCCCCGGGAGTGGGGCGGAGGCAGCGTGATGCCTGTAGATGTGCACGTCTCTGTGGCTATATATTTGTGTGAAATGAGCCAGCTTCCTTTGCCTCCGCTCTGCTCTCCCCGCCCCGTCCAGTCCTAGCTACGCAGGCCGTTCGCAAGTCTGTCTCTGTCATTCCTGGCGTTTCTGTAATCCTCTCCTCCTCTGAGACAGATCTTCTACAGCGGTGTGTTCCGGAGCAACCTGCCTTTTCCAAGTATCTTTATCCTGCGAAGGACCACGCGGTGAAGATGGCGCACAGGACGAGCCGTATGGACCTCTTGAGGAACCCGAGGCTGTTTTGTAGGCCTGGCCCGAGAACCACCCCCAGGCGAAACCCAGGGGTTCTGAAAATCTCTCATGAGAAGCTCAGGTATGTCCAGTCCCTCTCGGTGATGGGGACGCAGCAGACTCTGAGCCAGATCCGGGAGCTCTGCGGTCAGCGGCTGCAGACCCACACCAAGGAGCAGATGATGGAGCTGCTGGTGCTGGAGCGTTTTCTGGGCACCCTGCCCGAGGAGGTGCGGAAGTGGGTGAGGTCCCGGCGGCCCAAGAACAGCAGGGAGGCAGGGATCCTGGTGGCCAACCTGATCCAAGCGTGCCGGGAGGAAGGTGAGCCGGGAAGGCGGCAGCTTGCCACTTCCACCTACGGAGCGTCTGCTGTGTGCCTGGCGTGTTATCGAGGTGAACAAAGACGTGTGGGGTGGAGGAGAGGGTGCGCTGCGTCATCCTGGCTAACCTGCCTCCTACGACTTGGAAGACGTGCTTGTGTTTGGATTTTGCAGTTAAGATATTTTCTGAGATTGCCCACGAGCAAGATGGTCCCAGCACCTCCAGTACAGTTAATCCCCCAAAACCTTTTTCCTTTCAGTATCCTCCGTTCATTACCTTCAGTCCTGATTTTTTCTTCCTCCTTCCTTCCTCTTTCTTTCTTCTTTTTCTTTCTTTTTCCTTTCCCTTCCTTCCTTCCTCTTCCTTCCTTCCTTCTTTCCTTATTTCCTTCCTCATTCCTCTTCCTTCTTCCTTCCTTCCTCTCCTTCTTCTTCCTCTCTTTCTTTCTCTTTCTTTCTTTCTTTCTTTCTTTCTTTCTTCTTTCTTTCTTTCTTCTTTCTCCTTCCTTCCTTCCTTCCTTCCTTCCTTCCTTCCTTCCTTCCTTCCTTCCTTCCTTCCTTCCTTCCTTTCAACAATCTAGTCCCAGAGGCACCTGCTCTTTTTATTATTTTTGTTTTATTTTATTGATTTTTTTACAGAGAGGAAGGGAGAGGGATAGAGAGCTAGAAACATCGATGAGAGAAAAACATCCATCAGCTGCCTCCTGCACACCCCCTACTGGGGATGTGCCCGCAACCAAGGTACACATCCTTGACCTGAATCAAGCCTGGGACCCTTGAGTCTGCAGGCCGACGCTCTATCCACTGAGCCATTGATCACTGCCTCATGTACATGCATAATACCATGTACATGTATAATAATCCGGCCACTCGATGTATTAGTATCTCAAATGGGCACCAAGAATATTCTAGACTTTTGCTGGAGACCAACCACCTATTTGCCCTGCGCTTTCTATCAGCCCGTACGAAGGGGAAAACTGATCAGGTGCACGATCAATAGTATCTTTGATATCAAACAAATGAGGTGCTCAAGAGAAGTACACTAAGTGGCCAGATGATTATGCATTCAGAGATCATCATCATCTGGCCACTCAGTGTGTGTGTGTGTGTGTGTGTGTGTGTGTATCTTAATAAGAACTGCCATTGTATTTCATGCCTACGATGTGCTTTACCTATGTAACGTTAATCCTTACAAGAGTCTTTAGAAGTATAAGTTCTTACGGTTTAGGAATGGACTCCCTGGGGATTCTGAGCGTACCGTGGCACCGGGAACCGCGAACATAGAGGGGACTTCCGTTTTATTTGGGAGGCAACGGGGAGCCGCCCGAGGACTTAGGCCTGGGAAGTGACTGGAGAGCTTTTGAAGGAAGTGCTGTATTGAACTGAGAAAGCAATTCCTTCGGTCCTCCTCTTGTCACGGGCCGCCCAGAGCTGCCCTTCACCTCCCGGGGCAGGCCAGGGCGCTGTGGGCGGGGCAGGCCAGGGTGCTGTGGGCGGGGCAGGCCAGGGCGCTGTGGGCGGGGCAGGCCAGGGCGCTGTGGGCGGGGCAGGCCAGGGTGCTGTGGGCGGGGCTCTGTGACTGCTGCCAGACTGTGGCCATTTCCTCCGCCCTTCTAGATTTCCCCGCTCAGAGCCCTGGCCTCGCCGAAGAGAGGAACGCCGAAGACGAAGATCACCAGAAGAGGGAACCGACCACGCCAGACGCCTCGCCCCCCGCTGGGCGCGAGGTGAGCCGGGCTTGCTTCTGATCCGGTTCTTACCCAATACGGAGACCTCCCCTTCCCGGTTCCTGCGCCTTTCCTATCCGACGCACCACACCCTCATTTCCCTCACGCTTTCATCCTATCTGATGGACCCTCACGCCGTCGCAAAGATGGTGGCGCCCACAGCCAATAAGGAGGGGATATAAGATGTTTCTGACCCTCTCTCCCTCTCCCTGCCACTCTGTAAAAATAAATAAATAAATAAAAATCAATTTAAAAAATTAAAAAAAAAAAAAGACAGAGGCACATTGCAGGTCCGTGTCACCTGCTGGTCTGCTTGTCCACTTCCCGCTCAGTCCTCTCTTGTCCGCTCCTCCCCCCGCCGCTCGCATCGTTTCTGGCTGTCCTTTCAGGAGCTGGTGACTTTCCAGGACGTGTTTGTGCACTTCAGCCCGGAGGAGCTGAGCTCGCTGAGTGCCGCTCAGCGGCGCCTCCACCAGGAGGTGATGCGGGAGAACTACCAGAGCCTGGTCTCCCTGGGTGAGTCCGCCGCCCCCGGGCCCTGGCCTGGCCTCCGCTCACGGTTCTCAGCGGCGAGGGCAGTGGTTCCGAGCTCTTCTCTGTCCTCCCGTCCGTCAGCGAGTCTCAGCCCAGACCAGACACAGTATGTCCATGCCAAGTTCACTGTTACAACTGGGCTAACACTTTTCAAGCAGCTATCATATGTCAAGCATTAATCTAAGAACTTTATTATTTTATTTTATTGATTGATTGATTGATTGATTTTATTGATTTTTTTACAGAGAAGAAGGGAAAGGGATAGAGAGCAAGAAACATCTATGAGAGAGAAACATCGATCAGCTGCCTCCTGCACACCTCCTACTGGGGACGTGCCTGCAACCAAGGTACATGCCCTTGACTGGAATCGAACCTGGGACCCTTCAGTCCGCAGGCCGACGCTCTATCCAGCAAGCCACACTGGCCAGAGCCGCCGAAGCCTTTTTAGATAACCAGAAAATGAAATAAAATGTCTCCAGACATTGCCAGAAGCATCCTGGGGACATGTGTGTGAGAAACAGCCTCCGTTTTCCTTCTGTGTGAATTTGCGCCTTTTAAAAAAAATTTCTTTATTGATTAAGGTATCACATATTTGTCCTCAACCCCCCATTCCAATCCCCCACCCCTCCCCACACATACCCCTACCCCCCTATTGTCCTTGACCACAGGTTAGACTCATATGTGTGCACACAAGTCCTTTGGCTGATCTCTCCCTTTTATCCCCATCCTCCCTCTGAGGTAACCGTCTGGCCCATGACTCCTTGTCTCTGGGTCTGTTCTTGTTCACCCGTCTGTGTTGTTCACCATTTCCCCTAGATGAGTGAGATCATGTCCTACTGGAAATATTAGAATCAAAAATGAGGCAAGCTGCTGAGACCGGTATGGCTCAGTGGATAGAGCGTCGGCCTGCGGACTGAAAGGTCCTGGGTTCGATTCCAGTCAAGGGCATGTACCTTGGTTGTGGGCGCATCCCCAGTGAGGGGTATGCAGGAGGCAGCTGTTCGATGGTTCTTCTCATTGATGTTTCTAACTCTCTATCCCTCTCTCTTCCTCTCTGTAAAAAAATCAATAAAATATATTTCTTTAAAAAAAATGAGACAAGCAATAATCGTTAGGCTGAAAGGCAGATAAATCAGTCTGTAGTGAGCTTCTTTCTTGGGCCACCTGTTCTTTTTCAGTCCCAATTTCCATGTCCAACAGTTCCTTATGTGTACGTGTCAGCCGTGATATTTCCGTTCTGGCTGGTGGGCACCTGGTGGTGATGCAGGTCCGACCCTCCCTGGTTTGGTCCTGGGCGCCTTCCTTATTGTCAAGGGGCCTTTAGCGTCCCGGCTGGGAGGTGCCGGGGTTGGGAACGGAGCCCCTAAGTCTCGAGTCTTCCTCCTCCTCAGGGTACCACTTCCCCAGACCCGACATCGACATCATCGCGCAGCTGGAAGAGGAGTTCTGGGCGATGGAGGAAGGCAGCGAGGCAGAGACAGGCTCAGGTGAGGGGGAGGGACAAGCCGTGGAGACGGAAATCCCGGGACAGCAGCAGCCCCAGTCAGTCTGCTGGGGGGAGGGGCGGGGAGAGGGGTGCTGGGGGGCGGGGGGGGCGGGGCAGGAGCTGTCAATCAGGGAGCCTTCTTCAAAGCCCGCTCAGGTCAGGGACAAAGCGGGTCCGTGCTGTCCCCTCGGGCTCTAGAGGGGTCCGGTCCCCTGCATGCTCGGCCCTTCCTCTCCTCTCCTCTCCTCTCCTCTCCTCTCCTCTCCTCTCCTCTCCTCTCCTCTCCTCTCCTCTCCTCTCCGACGCTCGCTCCTCTCTCCGCGTTGCCCAGCTCCTGGGAGGTCTCGTTCCCTTTTCTCTTGTTCCCTTTTCTCTGCTCCCCCCCCCCCCCCCCCGCGCCCTCCGTTGGTCTGTGCCTTCGCTCTGGCCGCTGGAGGTCACAGGTCTGTCCTGGTGAACCGAGAGCGGTGGGACACACGCGGGGAGGCGGCCTCTCTGTCCGGCTGCCTCCGATTTCTCTAGGCCCCGCCCCCGGCTTGTGGAGGAGGCTCCCTCCTCCCGTAACCCACAGTCTGGTTCCCATCCCCCAGCCCCGCCTCCACACGCCCTCTCTCCCTCTCCCTCTCCCTCACCGTACAGCTTCCCCCGCGGGCCCCTACCGACATCCTTTTATAACTGGAGAGGAAGAACCTTCTAGACCAAGCATGTCACACTTCACATATGCAATGGGCATTCCAACTTAAAGCACAGAAACTCATCTGGCCGCGAGGCAGAGCCAGCCCTAAGACCACTTACAAGCACAGGGAAGCTTTTCCCACAGAAGCTCTGGACACAGCCTCCTCCTTTTCCATGGGTCCATTTGGGGTCACGCCCCCTCCCAGAACCATGAACACAGGCCTCCTGCCTCTTCCTGGGTGGGCAGAGAAGTGGGTGCCCCCGTCCCCGCACCCCCAGCAAAAAAAAAAAAAAAAATTTCAGGGACCACCAAGGGCACTCCTCTGCCTGCCTCGCTATCTCCCCCATGGCCTTCTCATCTTTCACTTGTTCATTCCTTCTCTGATGCTCTCCATCATTCCACGGGTCCTTCTTGAGCCTCTGTGGTGGGCGAGGCACTGTCCCAGGCTCTGTGAATCCAGCAGCAGACAAAACAGACCGAATCCCACCCGTGGGGCGGGCGGTTTAGTGGGGAGTGGGAGGTGACAGACACATAGACAAGTCATAGAGGGATGGGTGTGAGCAGCCAGAGCGACGACATGGGGAGGCTGCTTAAGGCGGCCAGTCAGGAAAGAACTCCTGAGGGAGGTATGAATGAGGAAGGTGTGAATGAGGGAGCCGGGCGGTCATGTGAGGGAGAGGGAACAGCAGATACGGCAGCCCTGTGGTTGGAAAGTCAGGATTTGAAGTTCCAAAAAACGGGGGGAAGGGTGGAGGAGGGAGATGGTCTGAGTGAAGCAGAGGTGGGTAGGAGGTGAGGTTGCAGAGACAGATGCTGGCCAGCCCACAAAGGGTTAGACTAAGGTCGTGGTCTGCAAACAGAGGCTCGAGAGCCACATGCGGCTTTTTGGACCCTTGAGTTTTTTAGCAAAAGCCAGCTTAGGAGGGCCCTGATTAAGTTAAAAACCATGTACCTACCTATGGCGTTTGAGTTTAAAAAACGTGGCTCTCCAAAGAAATGTCAGTCGTTGTCCTGTTGATTGATATTTGGCTCTGCTGGCTCATGAGTTTGGCCGCCACGGGGTTAAGGGATGTGGATTCCGTTCAAAGTTGTCGAGCTGGGAAAGGCATCCGAAGGTTCCGAGCCAGGGAGGAAGGTAGCCTTATTGACAGCTTCGAGCGGTGCTGTCCGGTGCGGCGGCCACCAGCCACGTGGAGCTACTCAAACGGACACCCATCCACATTACGTAAAATTTAAGATTTAGGGGCGCATTTGCTGCACGTGGCCTGTAGCTACTGCGTCGGAGAGCAGAAACAGACGTTGACATGATCACTGGGCATTCTATTGCGCAGTTCCGATCTAGAAAGATCCCTCCGGCTGTTCTCTGGAAAAACGGCCTTTAGAAAGGCCAGCAGAGCACCCGGTAGGCAGGCCCGAACGGCGGAGGCTGGGGCCGTGGCATTAGTGGGCTCAGGGGTTGAATGGGGACCGGGCAGAACCCGCAGAGACATTGGCCTGCCGGGACAGCAGCAGGACGAGGAAACAGCAGACTCGCTCAGGCCTTCTCCCTCAGAGACCCTTTCCCCCGTCAACTCCACGGGGGCGGGTCCAGTTACCCTCCTCCCTGCGAGTTCCCCGTCTGTCTCCTCGCCCTGCTGCTTCCTGCGCGCTCCGCTTGACTTGTCTGCGGGGCCGGGCCGGGCCGGGCTGCCACCTCCGTCTCCCTCCCGAACTACAGCCTTCTTACACGTGATCTCCTCGGCCTCAGGTTCTTCCCCATCCCGGGAGTTGCCTTGATCAAGCCCGCCCTTTGGACCAGCTTCCTCCTCCTTCCTCCAAAGAACACCCACGCGGTTAAAGCAAAAGACTTTCTGTTGCCAACCCCTCCCTCCCCGATCTCCGCGAGACGAATCCTGTTCCTGTCGGGGCCCCTTCTCCCTGTGATGGTGATGATGGTGATGATGATGGTGATGATGGTGATGATGGTGATGGTGATGTGTCTGTGAGTCCAGATAGTCGAGGACCTTCTGCGTTTCTTTTAGATGAGGAGACAGGACCCGAGGCCCAAGAGCCACCCCCAGAGCAGCGCCAGCCCATGGAAGAGCCGCACCCGCCCGTGGAAGAGCCGCACCCGCCCGTGGAAGAGCCGCACCCACCCGTGGAAGAGCCGCACCCGCCCGTGGAAGAGCTGCACCCGCCCGTGGAAGAGCCGCACCCGCCCGTGGAAGAGCCGCACCCCGCGGGGGCAGGAGCGGAGGGAGCGGAAGACCCGGAAGCAGGCAACCCCCGGCCTGGAGGGCCCCCGGGAGAGGCTGTTCATCCCCACGACCCACTAGATTTGTACCAGGCCCGCGAGCGGACACCCCCGCGCCAGGTCCTCGCTCGGGAAAGGACCCCTGTCCGTGACGATTCGGAGAGACATTCAGAGGGTCCCCGGGAAGGTCCCCCGTCGCCTGACAGTCAGCCTTCCCTGCAGCACGACGCCGCAATCCACACGTGCGAAGTTTGCCTGAGCTCCTTCAGCACCCGAGACGCCCTTCAGAGGCATTTCCGGATGAACCACGTGAGGAGGCTGTACTGGGAAAGCTTCGTCCTGGTGCCCTGCCTCAGCCGACCCGCCCCCGGTGATCTTCCTTCTGCTCCGGGCAACCCGCCGCCCGTGTTCCCGAATGTCCTCCGGCTGAGACCCGCCCCCGCCGCCCCCGCCGGCGGTCACCATGAGTGTGCCCACTGCGGCAGGGTCTTCGTCCAAGACGCGCAGCTCCACCAGCACCTCGATACCCACCGGGTGGTGATGGCCCTCCCGCCGCCGCCGGCCCCGCCCCGCCGCCGCGGGTCACACCTCATCCGCTACCAGCAGGCGGCGCACAGCCACGCGGGGGCCCTGGCCCACCAGTGCAGCGACTGCAGCAGAGCCTTCAACCAGAGCTCGCACCTCGTCTCGCACTACCGCACCCACGCCCAGGAGCAGCCCTTCCAGTGCAGGCTGTGCGGGAGGTGTTTCAGCCGGCCCTCGCAGCTCACCCGGCACTACCAGCTCCATCCTCCTCCGCCGCCGCCGCCTCCTCCTCCTCAGGAGGACCCCGGAGGGTGCAGTTGCAGCTGAAAACATTCCCAATGTGTCGCCCCTGAGAGAGACCCTCTGAGTGTGAGAACGCCTCCCGCCAGCCCTCGCCCCTGTTTGAACCACCCTGGAACTGCACCGCGGACACCAACACCTGAACAGTTACAAGAATGCGCCACGACAGCAAGCGTGTCAAACTCGGGGCCGGCGGGCCGCATGCTCGTGTACTGCATGCGCCCATCTGCCTCGAGTTTGACACGCTTGACGGACAACAACAGCCTTTCAGGAAGTTCAACGCATGCCTCCGTGGTCACACAGGCCAGAAAAGCTCACAGAATATTTGTGCTGAATAGGACAGAAGCTAGTAGATTTCACGCTTCTTTGGTGGTATCCATAGAATCAGTAACCTTGATTTCGACAACCTGACAAAAAAAACACCCCCCCACACACACACACACAGACACACATACACACATACACACACACAAAACTTATGACCAGCAGTTGGGCTCCAGACAGACAGTCTGTGGCCTGGGTTTTATAGAAGTGTTTGTATACGACATTCTCACCACACCGATGTGTCAGCACAGGGCGTGGTGGGAAGATTTTCCAGGCGTCTCTCTATGGATTCATCCCACAAAGCTGATGCAATTGGTAATATACAGGGTGTCCCCCTCCCCGCCCCCCGCCGTCGCCCGCCCCCTCCCTTCCCCAATGCAGACACGCACTTTGTTTTTTGTTTGCTTGTTTCAATATATTTTATTGATTTTTTTTTTTTACAGAGAGGAAGAGTGAGGGAATAGAGAGTTAGAAACATCGATGAGAGAGAAACATCGATTCAGCTGCCTCCTGCACACTCCCTACTGGAGATGTGCCCACAACCAAGGTCCATGCCCTTGACCGGAATCGAACCCGGGACCCTTGAGTCCTGAGGCCGAGGCTCTGTCCACTGAGCCACACCGGTGAGGGCCAGGCACGCACTTTGAGCCGGCTGCTGTGTCCCTAGTGAAGGTATTTATTCCATGTTACAGAGAAAGCAAATTTGAACACCGCCCCCCCACCCTCCGCCACTGTCACTTGACTTCCCCTTGGTCGTCATTGCTGGAGCAGGAACCTGAATCCAGGGGGCGGTTTTTTGTGTTTGTTTGTTTGTTTTTGTGTTGTTTTTTTTTAGGTTTTTACTCTGGTTCTTGATGCTCAACCCATTTTTTTCCCCCCTTTAAATTCCTGCCATGTCCTCTCTGAAGAAAAGGCATAGTATTGTACTGCCTGCAGCATGCTCCTCGTTAGTCCCACCCAGCACTGCCTCGCATCCAATCAGGGGAGGGCCCTCACAGTTCTCAGGCCCAAGAGCTTTCTTAGGGTGAAATCTACCCATTTCTCTCACGAGTTAGGTTTAGATGATGACTTGCAGAGACACTAATTCGGGGAAGCATATTTTTGCTGACCACTTCCTCGTTACTGATCGCTCTTTTTCTTTTGTCTGTGTGTGTGTGTGTGTGTGTGTGTAGTTTGTTTGAAGGGTTGGGGTTTCTTTTTTTCCTTTTCTCTCCCTTTTTTAATTCCCATTTGAAAGCAATATTTTTGCTTTCTTGGGCTCTGGCATCAAACGCACGACCAGCCTCATCTCAAATCCTAATCCCAGGCTGGGCAAACGTCACTCCTTAGAGGCTGGAGACCCCGATTGTACTAGAAATCTCTTTCGTGGCGTGTTGCTGATGTCCGAAGCCTCCCGTCACTGCCTCGCAGGGTGGTCAGACACAAAGGCACGTGGCCCCGGAGTCCCCGACATGACTCTTTGCCTGGGAGGCGGGCTGCCGCTATTGCTCTTCGCTGCCCTGCCTTTCCTCGTCCAGGCGTTTTTGAAGTTGGTCTGTGACGGTGGCGCCCGAGTCATGAAATGAAGAACAGACAGGACCTCTGAGCCACTCGAAGGCTCGCTGCACCACCCCTGCTTCTGCCTTTAGGACAGTTCCTACCTTGTCTTTGTCCTGTGAAATCTACTTCTTTCCAAAGTGTTCTAGGTCTACTCAGGCCCTCACTCATCTCAGTCCTGTCATTTCTCCCTTCGTCTTTTTTTTTTTTTTTTTTTTTGCTAAATCTACATTCCACCCTGATAATGCTTTATTTCCACGGCCTTACCTCTATTTCCTTAAACGTCAAGACATCTACTTAGAAAGAAAAATTTTAAATCACCTCAAAGGGAAGACATTTCATCAGATTTCCGTGATCATCTCTGAGATGTGATGTGATTTGTTGTTGTTGTTGTTGTTGTTGTTTGTTTGTTTTTTGCAGTTGGCTCGTTGGAGTCCATATCCAAACGTGGTAACCTGGTACACCGATTGCATTTGGTTATCTGATCTCTGGGTCTCTGTTCATCTAAAGAAGTCTCATCTCGGTTTTTTTAATGCCTTGTGTGACCCCAAGGATAATGTGGAGATAACACTCACCTCCTCTCCCCACCTGGTTCCTAATATGTCTGACTGTTTTAGTACTTTTCTAATATCCAGGTTTAACATCCAGGTTTAATATTTGTACCTTTGGGTGAAAAGGTTTCCTACCCAGGTTTAATATTTTTTAAGTTTAGAAGCACTTATTTTAAATTAAATTTTATTCTAAATTAGTGTTTTAAAAAAAATAATATAACGTGTCATTTTTGAGTGTACAGTCCAGTAGTTGTTAAGTGTAGTCATGTTGTGCAATAGATTCCCCAAGACTTTATCTTTGCAAAACTAAAACTCTCTGCCCCTAACTCAGTTACTCCCCACCTGCCCCTCCCCCAAGCCCTGGTAACCGTGGTTTTTCCTTTAAAGCTTTTTGCGGGAAGAAACTGGGTCCGGTGGTGTCCTGGTGAATGCCCCCCGCCCCCTTCTCAATCTGTTTGCCTTCTGTGGCGTCCTTAAGCTTGTTCCTCTCTCCCTGCTGCCCCTGTGGGCTCCCGACTACACCGCTGTTCCTCTCGCCTCTTTCCCCACCCAGTTCCCAATGTATCTGACCGCTGGGCATTGCTCTGCTAGCCAGATGTTTTCTTTCTTTAGAAACACTCATGTCTTAAGCACTTTTGGCGATGCTGCAAGTAAGACACACTCCTTGAAGGTTATATAAAATAATGTTGTTTTTTCTCTGAATGTTTGTGTTTCCCTCTCCCAGAAATACTTGCTGCTAAAAGAGTGTAAAGTTGTCCTTTTTTATATATTTTTTCTCCTCTGCATGGATCTGTATGTCGTTGTGAACAAGAGAAAGGTGGTTTTATCTAGTAGTACCCTACTGTTAACACTGTTTTTGGAAAGTTGCTTTTATTCTGCTGTATCGTGAACATCTTCTCCCATCAATAAATATACCCCTTGCTTTCATCTCTCAGGTGTGGCTGTGTCTTCCGTTTGTTTCCCTCGCCTTCTGGGGCTGGCAAGGGGAGGTTGCTGATAGTTTATCTCTCACGGATATGTCACTGCCATCATTGCACTTCCTGCTCTCTCTCGGGCCTTAGAGCTTCCCTTATCAGTGTGCTCTAATGCCTGTGTGTGTGGCTGTTTCCTGAGGGATATTCCCAGGAGTGGAATTCCTGAGCCAGAAGGGACCTGTGTCTTGAAGGCCTAGAAACACGACCTCATCTTGACCCAGGTCTAAAAAGTGTGCTGATTGCCCTATCCCAGTGGTCAGCAAACTGCAGCTCGCGAGCCACATGCGGCTCTTTGGCCCCTTGAGATTTTAGCAAAAGCCAGTTTAGGAGTACCCTAATGAAGTTAATAACAGTGTACCTAACTATAGAGTTTAAGTTGAAAAAATGTAGCTCTCAAAAGAAATTTCAATCGTTGTGCTGTTGATATTTGGCTCTGCTGACTAATGAGTTTGCCAACCACTGCTGACCGGATTGGTTCAGTGGATAGAGCGTCGGCCTGCAGATTCAAGGGTCCCAGGTTCGTTTCCGGTCCAGGGCTTGTACCTTGATCGCGGGCACCTCCCCAATAGGAGGTGTGCAGGAGGCAGCTGATGGATGTTTCTCTCTCATCCATGTTTCTCTCTATCTCTCTTCCTTTCTCTCTTTAAAAAAATCAATTATATAAATATATATATATATATATATATATATATTTTTTTTTTTTTTAAGAACTATTTTAAGTGCTGATTTTTCCCCTCTAGGGAACAACTAAACTATTTAGCTCTTCTCCACATGGTATGTTGGAAATCAGCGAGCTGAACAGAGGACGCCTTAGTCAGCCACATGTGGAGTCTTTATGACACTGGCGGTCTCAGGCGAGCTGCCTCTCAAAGTCTGAGCAAAGTGCTGAAACCAGTTTGGCTTGGTGGATAGAGCTTGTGGACTGAAGGGTCCTGTGTTCGATTCTAGTCAAAAACATATACCTTGGTTGCAGGCACATCCCCAGTGAGGGGTGTGCAGGAGGCAGCTGATCGATGTTCCTCTCTCATCGATGTTTCTAACTCTATCTCTCTCCCTTCCTCTCTGCATAAAATCAATAAAATGTATATATATTTTTAAAAAGTCTGAGCAAAGCAACGTGGAGGAAGCTTTTCCTTTATACCCTCCCGGTCTCTTTGTCTTTAAAACATGGGGCTCCCGGGCCTTTCGCAGGCTTTACAAAGAGCCCTGTGTGCTGGGAGGTATTTTGCAGGAAGCGTGTAGCCTGGAGCGCCACACAGTTCCGATAACACTTGGCACAGGAGGAACCGGGGGCAGAGCGGCTTGCAAGGCCAGCTAATGAAGCTTACTTCCCCCTATCATCCGAGCACGCGTGTTCACAGAAGCCAAGAATAGCGGAGCGAATTCACAGAACAGAGGATCGTCGATGTTTACTGGAAAATTTTCAGACGGCCGTGGTGGGAAACCGCCCATTGTCTGCAGAGCAGAGAGGCGTGTGAACAGGAGCCCGGAAAGATGGTGACCCTGGAGCCATGGCAAAGGTCAGAGCGACGCACCCACCGTTTAGTGGAGGCCATGGAAGAAGCTAAAGCAACGTCCCCACCAGACGGTCATGTAAATCCTTACGGATGAGATTGTCTGTTACTGAAAATTGCCTGTCTCA